CCCAGTCCGAGAAAAAGGATGGAAGGATCCTGTTCATATGGACCTGTCGTCAGACAGAAAACTAAATAAATAAAATAAATATAGAGTGTATAAATAAACACATAAGAGGGAGGTCGTCTCACCTTACGTTTCGTCGATGATTTCTATTAATCTGAATTTATCGAATTAAATTAAGTTTTCAGTGTATACGAAGAAGAGAATCCGTCACAAATTTTATTAATAATGACAAATAATTACGGCGATATGTTTCGATCTCACAGAATTCATCGCTCTGATGACGGAGGGAGTATGACCTCTGAAACGTTGGTAAACATCGACCAGACTACACAGCGCAACAACCCAGAAGACAGAAATCTTCATACTCACCGCTGTGAAAACCTCAAATCATACAAGCAGAAGCATTGTTTTAAAGTGATTTATCTCCAATGCAACATTAGCAAGGTACAAAAAAGAATGTTTCGGAACAAGAAAGGTTGAGTTGACCCCGGTACTTAACCAAGCACAACGCAATGCAGACGCGGGGCCAGTGGACACATTCGTAACTTCAGCATTAGATACACGTGAATAACCTACGCTAGCGTTCACGTTCCATCCACGTTAAACCTGAGTAAACTCCCGATAACACATTGAACAAAAGGCTGGGTGGGTCCCAGAGCCGGTCTGGAAATCTTCCTATGCCGGGTATCTAACCCCGGTCATCCATCCCGTATCCTCAGATATCCCTTCTCCTGGTTTGGAGCACACTCGTACGTTAACTCGATGCTTTTAGACAAAATTCTGAGCTGGGCGTTATAGGATCTGCGTAATTACGACGTACCAAGTACAAATGAAAGCCGGTATAGATTGTAGGATGGAGACTGGTTAGCTTGTAACTCGAATCAGCTTCTCACGTGACAACCCCAGACAGCAAAGCCAAAAAAATATTCCTTCATAGTAACGAGTTTCGTATCGTAATCGGCAACATTCTAAGTGGCAGCCAATGATAACACGCTGGCTGGACGGTCCTGTCACGCATCCCATGGGCGGCGACAGACGAGTGTGGAACAGCTTTTCTCAGTATCATTTTGGCCACCATAGATTTGTAATGGACTTTCCTGGCATTAAACCTTGACTTCAACAGTGAAAATTCGGTATCTGAGAGTCTCAGCTATAGAATTGCGCACGAGTGGTAACTGAAAAACGAATACCATAAAAGTTGTACAGGAACGTCTGTCTGTTGCAGGGATAACGGGACCACACGCACAGGCTACGTCCTCACGTGGGTAGACGGAGATCCCTCGAATTCGTCGCTGGACCACACGTAAGGTATCTACGGGTCACAAAGACTGATATTATATCGATATTTTGTCTCCTGTACATCAACATTCCAGTATGTGTCCTCGCTTATATCGACACTGGAATACGAAATCTTTTGGTGTAGTTCGTTATGCTGAATGAAAACGTGGTTAAGTAGATTGTCCTCCTAGGCACAGACCGAAAACAGCATAGTTCGATCGGTGAACGAGTCAAATTCCTAATTACGAAGAATCAAGTTACAGACCAAAATATTTTTGGTACTGTTTACAATTTAAACTTACTGAGTAAAATTGAGTGTTTTCTAAAGTATATGTGTAAGAATACTTTTCTCTTATTCGTTGGTATTCTGCGTAAATAGATATCGATGTTTCGTCATAAACATTTCTGTGCACTGAAATGTCAACAGTAGAAATTATCTTCATCGCTAAATCTGTATTTGCTTGAAAAGAGAATCATGGTCACACATGTGCAGCGAGCCAGAGTAGATGGCTTTCGGATTACAGCGGTTGACATGTGATGTCTCATATTACCATCCATTATTATCACAAAACACAATCTAATGAAGAGAGACTCTGGACATGGGGAGCAAAATTTAAAACCTTCAGGGGGTGCGCAAGTTTTTCTTTAAATATTCAACTGGGAGACAACCTCAAACAACAGAAAACGCATCCGACGGCGAGGAATCAGCACAAAAACACAAAGAACCGACGAATTTGGAACTGCACCTCTGCAGCTCTTGAGTTCCAAGAATTTCCTTACTCAAAAGAAAATTTTCATCATACAACTCAGTCGGCTCCAGTACCTATGAAAAATGCTGAGGAGGAAACGCGTGGAAAGCTAAAACACTGAACGAAAATTGTTCTCATAACCCCAATGTCCCCTGAGTTACATCCCGGGGTGTAGCACGATAATTTCAGAACCCCCCAAAAGCACACCGAGTTTAGAGTCGAAAAAATTAATCTCACCCCCCGAGGGGAACAGAAAGGCAAATTCCTGGAGGAACGTATCACAGGACAGGGGGAAGTGCCCAAAGATGGCGTTACACTGGTTAGTACATAAGAAGACCAAACTGGTGTTTGTATTTGCAGGTACAACGTCGCCATGCTACACATGGCGTACGTAGTGCCGATTTGTATCATGGCCGTGTGCTGCAGCAGTATAGCGATCAAACTTTGGTTCAGTCGCTCCAGCGGCCAGCCGACCCAGCGAGAAATTGACATCATGCATTACAAAAAGAAGGTGAGATGTCTCCATAATCCAGTCACCTTACACCATTTTCAGGATCATGAATGTATTTTGGAGTCAGTAGGCGTCCTCTGTGACAAGATGGCTGGTCTGTTCGTGTCAGATGTCTTAATCTCTCTCACCCACACTTTCCATCAGTATATAATCCTAAATTATAAACATGGTCTCTGCCAGACTGCGCCTTATCTGAGCTACAACAGCAACTTTAATAATCGTAAGATAAATTTGCCCTGTATGTCGCTCAGTGTCTCGTCTCGTGATTCGAGAAATAACGTTTTCGTTATTTTTAAAGCTTCTACTTTGTCCTCCACGTCGAAAGCCACCGATGTGCGTCTTTTTGTGTGTTGCAGGAATTTATCATGCTCGTCAGTATGATGATGGTCTTTGCAACGTTCACACTCCCATATCACCTACTCAACATTTATACGGGCTACGATCCAGCTAAGCAGAACAGCGCACATGCCAAGCACCTTAACCTGACAGTTAACTGGTTGGTCGGGTTTCCTGCCGTGGTTAACCCGATGCTAAACTTATGGATGAATTCAAGGTACTCTAGTTTACCTAAGACTAAGTTGACTGCAGTTCTTAAAGCTCTAGTGACTACAACGTGAACAATGAAATTGTTCCGTTAGTAGAATCAAAAACTATCAATGTAAGGGTCTTGAGGTTCTCACAGCGGTGAATATGAAGATTTCTGTCTTCTGGGTTATTGCGCTGTGTAGTCTGGTCGATGTTAACCAACGTTTCAGAGGTCATACTGCCTCCGTCATCAGGGCGATGAATATTCATC